AAACAATTTAACCTATTTCCAAACTAATGTAGTACAGGAAAGTAAGGTTGTCTCCTCAGGGAATGGTGAATTTCTCTCTTTTAAATCAAGTAACCAAAAGGAGGGGTTTTGAGTTGTTGAAATAAATTGCAAACAATAGCTAAAATGATTCAAACAAATAATGAGAAAATATCTAGCTGAAGGGTCTGTATATCCACCTTGATTTAAACAGTTGATCATAGATACAATGATATTATCATTAACTTATGAGTAGATTAGTGTTCATTGTTGGAACCTCCAAACACTTCAATCTTTCATTTAGTTCAATGATTAAGAAACCTTCATTAATCATATACTAGTCGAAAACTAATCTTGGAACCTCAAAAGATTTAGAAAACTACTACATTAAACACATAGACCCAATCCCAATTCCTATAAAACAAACCTTGTTTTATATTAAACCGGATTACTTGTTCTTATAACATAAATAATTACTTACCAAGTAATTAAATTATATTATACCCTATTTAAACAACAAAACCTTGTTGTTTTATTGGTTTTAGATTATTAAGAAGCACCGAATGCTACCAGCTATTCATGAATCCACAATAATCATATCAATCATGCCATAGAACAAGCAATTACTCACAAGAAATTCAGAGAGAAACAACATTTAAATCTCACAACTATTTAACCCAAGACTTCAATACCTTTCAACCAGATGAATGAATTTAGCTACTCATCATGAAAACTGAATCACAAGAAAAATTCATTGAACAATATTACCGATTGATGTCTATAAACTCGGAAAACTCCAAAAATGAAGAAAGTGCCTTTGAAAGCTCCTTAAAAGTGGAAAACTACGTCTATTTTTATTCTACTACCTTCCACTCTTTCAAAATGAAAAGAAAAGTCTATTTATATTCAGAATATAGGTCAGCCGCAGCAGCCCTCTCAGAAATCCGCAGCAGCAAATTAAATTTTCCGAGATTTGCATATTGGTCCCTCAAATTTGGCAAAATTACATTTTGAATCCAAAACTTTTTCAATTTTTCATTTTAGTCCCTGTTTCGGTTTGGCTAAACAGGAATGCAGCTTCAATGCTGGAATTTCTTCTCTAAAGCTCAATTTTGGACTGAGATTCGTGTGCCCACACGAGAATGTGATGTCATTGCTCCTTCTTGTGCTTCCTTGTCAAAATTCTCCAAAAATGTGTGTTTATGAAACATTTTGCTCCATCTCATCTCTAAGGAATCCTAGGAACCAAAAATATCAAAATACATAATATAAGTGCACAATCTAATCCAAAATACTATACAAATACCCATAAATAATATGAAACTTCAAGACCTATCACTGCCTTTTCTGTTTTTCTTTTACTGTTTCTTTTTTAGAAAATATGCAAAGTTTATGATAAGCTAATCTTGCTTTTACTTAGTTGATTGTGGTTTATTGTGAAATCTCTAAGTTCAAGAAGAGTACTAAGATCTCTTAGTTCAGCTATAATGAACTTTGCTTTCGGGGTACCTTGAGAAAGTAAATTGGCGTTTTTTTTAATGGTTTTGAAATAGTTTGCCATGTTATAAATTCAAAAAATAAGAACAACATAGCTACCTTTCTGGCTTAGCTTGCTTCTTTCTTTTACACAGGTCTAGATATTTAGCAAAATGTTTGATAATGTGTTGGTGACTTTTTTAAGCTTCGCAGAAATTGTTGAACTGTTCGTTATGATCACTTAACATTTCTATTTCTTTTCTTTTTTTGACTTGTCAGAAAATTAGGATGGCGAGCCCTCCTCCTTTCTCATTCAAAGGTGCTATTTTCCCCACCTGTTTTGTCTTAGCATAACTTCATGAAATTAACAATATAATTATCTCTTTTGTGGATCGAGAAGTTGCCCTCTACAACTAGACACAATCCTCTTGGTAACTTTGCCTTTGTGACTTTTGAACTTTCTGTATTTAAACTGTCGAGTAATATATTAATGGCATCATTTTTTCTGTTCTTTCACAAGTCCTATGAATTTTAAGAACGGGTAATGATTTGTCCTACAACCCGTGTAGAAGTAACCATAAAAATGTTATTGTTTACTGTTTCTCTCTTTGGTTTGTAAACATTTGAATTGTGCCTCAGATATATATTGCTCTTTTTAATTTTGGTTCTATTTATTTAAAGCGTTTTTATTGAAGCATCTTAGTGTTTTAGTGCACATAACTACATAAGTTTCATTTTGGTGAAGAATATTAATGTGGAAGACGCATGTAGACTTTTTGACTTACATATTAGAATATCCAATGATGAATTATGGTGTTCAATAAGGATGTTACTTGGTCTCTTGATTTCCATATTATGATCTATTTGCAGATAACTTGTAGAATATGCCATAAGCCAAGTGATGTGGGGAAATACATGTGCTTGTATTATTGTTCAAGAGGTAAGCATTTCTTCCATTAGAATAAGTGTGTCATGGTTAATCCGATGGAGAGTTTTAGTATTGTATAATCATATTTTTTGTTAATACTAGTCTAACTTATATGTGATGCTATCATCTTCTTATCATTTTTTATTTAGGTTGTCAATGATTGACCTCTCAAGAATGGCTGATGAGGAGAGGTAGAAAAAGTGTTCAATCTTTTGAAGTTATACAGATCAAGAAGTACACTTCTGATACTTATTGTAAGTTGGATTTGATCTATACAAGAAATACTAGCATTTGTTGAGACGTGTAAATTATTGAGATTTATTTTGTGTAAGCTAGAAGATTTTTATCACTATTTCTTATATACATTACATACGTCTTTTATTACATGATGGTTGTAAAGTGTGTGTTTAGAATTGGAAATTCTTCCAAAAAAAATGGTTGCAGCACAATTTTATTTTTTTTATTTGTTGAATATATTACAGCGACGAATTTATTTCGTCATAAAGGTTGTCTAACCAAACCGTATCCAATTTGTTCAGTTTGGTTTAAATGGTTTACCCAAAATTATTATTGATAACACAGGCCGGTCACTGTGAAAATTGTTCACAAAAAGGATTTTTTTTAGTGACGATAGAGAGGTTTTATTGACCAAGTAAAATGACGATTTTTTATTGTCAATAATGTTGTGACGAGTAGATTCTGGTCACTAAATATGTAGCTTTAGGGCAAAAAATGATTTTGTCGTCACTTTGACGATTTAGGGACAACTCAATAGTGTCCAACATGTGACGACTGAATTGTCGTCAATATGTGATTTTAGTGATGATTTTAGGCGTTTACTGACCATATGACATGGTGACTAAATGGGTGTTTTTCTTGTAGTGCTATAAGCAAAAACTAAATCCTTAATTCATCCCTTAACAATTTAATACAACTTACCATAGTCAAATCTCAACTATAGACATGTCATGGTGTCGACAATCTGATAGACTATAAAGTTTCATATCTGCTCATTATGAGAGAAGACTCCCTGAGCTGCTGAAGCCTAAAACTTTCAACTTTGAAATGTAAGAGGCAACTACTAACTACCACTTGCAGTTTATAAGTTGTATTACCAAATTCAGATCAAGAAATTGCAACAAACGCAATCAAAACTTATAGTTTCTTCATTCTCTCAAGGCAATAAATGATGTCATGCGTCTCATAGATATGATAGCTCTTGCTTTGAAAAGCTTGCGGTGCATTCAAATTCGCAAGATTCTCCTCTTCTGTGACGGAGGCAAAAATAAACCAGCAAGACCATAAAGGCTGGCAATGTATGAGATTTCTAGTTATATAATCCTTGATTTCGAGATCGAAATTTGTGAATGTAATAGTTGATAGAATGCAATGATGAATAGTTTAACATAATCCAGAGAATTAGTACTATCAGCAGGGGAACATTCTAACATAGAGACCCTCCGACAGACGGTAGAACCCTTTGTAAATATCTCCATCTGGGGTTTCCAGGTAATTCTCCTTCCATCAAGCTTGCAAGTGACAAGATATTTGATTGAAGAAATGGAGAACGGGAACAGAGTTAAAAATGGAGAGAAAAGAAAAAGGAGACGAGAACTGTGGAAGTTGTTGAAGCTTTGACGGAGAGACATGATGAATTTTAGATATATCTCAGGCCATTAGGGCAGTAAAATAAATATTTGTTGTTTCGTAAGTAAAATGATAGGCTTGCATCATCATTAGACATTGGGCTTCGAAAAGGTTAAATAGGATTTGATTAATTGAAACTTCAGTAGGGTAAAGTTTGATCCAATTAATTGTTGATAGGCGATGGGTGTTGTGAAAGAACATATTTATTCAAAAGAATTAGCCGTGTTAGATATGTGGGATTTTGTGTAATTATTCCATTTTGGCTTCCAACTTCAAAGTATTAGCTTCCTCTGTTGTAGAGAAATAATTTAAATTACGATACTGTTGATAAATACACATGATAGCATGATACTTACTCTAATAAATTTAGGAGCTGAACAATTTTTTTTTCCAGAATCCAATAATAATAGACTAATGGTTAGAGTGTTGTCGTTTGTTGAGTAGACTTATTGGAAGGGACAGATTTTTTTTTTTTTATAAAAAAAGCTCTCATCAAATCTTAATTTTAATTCTTTTATTTGAAAGATCAAGTCATTCAATTTACAGATCTTAATTTACCGAATTGAATTAATCAAGACAGATAGAATATATCAAAATTAAAAGAAAGAAAGACAAAAATGTTGTTACTTCACACCAAAATCTTGTCGGCGTCTTAATTCCGTTGACCAGGGTGTGCCTTGTTCCTTGACGGCTTGACCTCTAGTCAAGGTCAAGGGGTTATGTCATAGCATTACTAAAATTCAGGATTTATTTAGTCAAAGAATCAAAACTCCGGGATAAAATCATAAATAAGGAACAAAAAAAAAGAAAAAGAAAATAGAAAAAAAAAAAGGAGGATTGGGGAAGGGGGCAACTGTACTGGGATTTAGAGCGGGTTTCAAGAAGGAATACTACTTCAAGAGACTCTGTTTTCCCAGTGCTCAAAATCATATCAGCTCCCTGAGAGAGAAAGATGATGATGATGAATACCCTGAGAACCGGTTCCCGGTCCGCCAATCAACTCCTGAAGCAGACTACCTCCTCCCAACGTCTGCTTCTTCCTCCTCCTTCTTCCGCCACCGCCGTCCGTCACTTCTTCAGCCGTCGCCGGGATGGTTCGGAAGGGAGTTACGTGATTCATACGCCGTTCGCTTGGCCGATTCACATGGTGCCGGAGAAGAGAGCCTATGTTATTGAGCGATTCGGCAAGTACCTGAAGACGATGGAACCTGGTCTTAATTTCTTGATTCCCTTTGTGGACAGAGTCTCCTATGTTCAATCTTTGAAAGACACGACTATCCCCATTTCCCAGCAGTCTGCCATTACTAAGGACAATGTTTTCCTCTCCATCGATGGCGTTCTCTATGTTAAGGTCTTATTCTTCTTCTCCCCCCTTCGTTTTCTCTGTTTTATCTTCTTAATTAAAATTTATGTATATTTTGAATTTTTTTGGACCTTCTATTGGTATATTTTGGATTCAAATCTTACGTTGACCAATGTCAAAAATTGCCCAAGAAGGCTCTCTCTCTTTGTTGCTTGTTGTTGAATGTTTCTTTAAGAACCATATATCTTTGCTATTTTCTTTTATATTGAAACATGCTGAGTGAATTTTGTAGATTGTTGACCCTAAGTTGGCGTCGTATGGAGTTGAGGACCCAATATTTGCTGTTATTCAACTTGCTCAGACTACAATGCGCGGTGAGCTTGGCAAGATTTCATTAGACAAGTCTTTTGAGGAGAGGGATTCCCTCAATGAGAAGATAGTGGTAAGCAAGCTCTGTATCTATACATTGTTGTTGACGAGGTTATCAGTTCTCTTACAAAGTGACAGTTCTATAATTTGATTGCTTGCTGGAGCTTTAAGTTCTTTAGTGGATATTTTCTGTGATAATGGTTGACTCGAAATGCTAATATTCTTCCTCAAATGACGGTGAAGTTTGAATTGTCTCTCTTTGCTGATCCCTTTGTCTTAGAGGATGTTGGTTTGAATTGCACTTTCGGAAGAGCTTTTAATCATATTGTTGCATTAACCATGCCATGTTTCAACCTTAATTGTAGGTATTGTATTTGATGATCTTTGAACATGGCCAAAAAAACTCAAACCACATAGTATTTGTTTTTCTTCATGGGTTGTTTTATGTTGTGAGATTCATTGAGCACATATGCCTATTCCTTTCGCACTTGCTGTTGCTTTTTTGTTTTTTACAACCATGTGTTGTTAAAAATTAAATCAAATGTTTTTTTGCAACAATTGGTCATGTCTTTTGGATCTCTTATTCACACAAAAGAGTCGATATCTCTTGCAGCTAGCCATTAATGAGGCAGCAAAGGGTTGGGGCTTGAAGTGTCTGCGTTATGAAATAAGTGAGCTATACTAACTGTTTTATTTTCTGTTCTTTTAGATAGTTGTACAAGTTCATTGTTAGTTGCTCTCATTTTGCTCACCATGCGGTTTTTCTTTTCATTTCAGAGGATATATCCCCTCCTAAAGATATAAAGGTGGTCATGGAAATGCAAGTTGAAGCAGAACGGAAGAAACGAGCTCAAATTTTGGAAGCAGAAGGTAAAACTCTCATTTCCTTTTTTCCTATTGAGATTTTTTGGTGACCTTTTGTTATTAGATCAAAAAATATGCAGAGGTTTGTCCTTTTATAAATTTTGAAATATTTCAAACACACTCAATTTAATCAGAAAGTAACTCCTGAAAAAAATAACAATCCTATTCTTTCGTTGAAAGTAAACTACAACTTACTTTATACAACTACCTTGCTGCTCTAAATATATTTCCTGGAAAGATTTGTTTGGGCGGCTGCTATTCTATTAATGTCAAATCTTTAGAGTCTTAACTAATGTAGTCTTTTCAGCAAACCCTTTCTCTCTATCAGCTATGTGTCTTAGGATTCTTCCTACGTTATAATTTCCAGAGTGTCATGTCTTTGAATGAGGATTCTATCTTTAATTTTTTATTGCACTGAATCCCTGCAATCATAAGCCATTCACAATGTGTTAAAATTACCATGGCAACGAAATCACTGAACATTTTGTTGAACAAGTTTGATTGTTTTATCTTCTCTGATGAATAGGTTGATCTTTCTGTGACAGGTTTAAGGCAAGCAACTATACTTGCTTCAGAGGCTGCAAGGTTGGACCAGGTTAATAAAGCAGAAGGCAAGTGAATCTATCCTTATTAATTAGGTCCTTAGGGCTCACTTTATTTGCAACGAATCATTGTTCTCTTTTGGCATGATGACTTCATGATGCAATCGTGTTTTGCTGTTTAACTTGGCAGCTCTTTTACACATTCTACCACGGCAATGAAGATACTATGTCTAAATTTGATTGTTTTATTATATCTGATGACTTGGATTATCTTTTTCTGATAGGTCTAAGGCAAGCAACCATACTTGCTTCGGAGGCTGCAAAGTTGGACCAGATTAATAGAGCAGAAGGCAAGTGAATTTGTTCTTATTAGTCATTGGGACCACTTTATTTGAAAGAAAATCTTGTGCTCTTTTGGCATGTCGTCATGATGGTGCAATGCGTTTTGCTGTCTAAACACCCAAAATTAATTTTGAAATGTATATGCCACAAAATTTTCAGCACACCTTTTCTTTTTATCAGCTAGACTTCTTCGGGTTCCTACCTTTTAATTTCTAGATATTATATTTGTTTGCGAATGATGATTTTGTCTTTAATATCTTTTTTGTCCTGAACCACCACAAGCTTATGCATTTCAGTTCATGTTAATTTGTCATGTCAATGAAGACATTGTGCCTTTGACATTTTGTGTGACCAAATTTGTTTGTTATCATCTCTGATGACTCAGTTCATCTTTATGTGACAGGTCTAAGGCAAGCAACCATCCTTGCTTCTGAAGCTGCAAGGGTTGATCAGGTTAATAGAGCTGAAGGCAAGTGAATATATTCTTATTAGGTCCTTGGGCCCACTTTATTTGCAAGAAAAACATGTGCTTTTTTTGCAAGTCGTCTTGATGATGCAATGTGTTTTTCTGCCTTAACTTTGCAGACTTTCTTACTGAATGAGTGCGCTTGCATCTTTTTCAGCAAACATTTCCTTCCTATCAGCTAGATTTGTTCCAATTCTTTTATTCTGAATTTTAGATGTTATTATATATTTCTTTAAATGTGGATCCTGTCTTTAATATCTTCGTTGCACTTCTTTTTTTTTTTTTTTTTGAAAAGGTACCTGTATATTAATTAATAAGAAGTACCTAAACTATTACATTGCATTCTATGGAATTCTAAATTATGCTAAATTATCTTCGTTGCACTGATTCCCCACAAGCTTATGCATTTCCCAAAGCTTTACCCTGTTAATGATGGTGTTGTACCTTCAACATTTTATGTTAAGTTTGATTGTCAATGATTTTGATGATGGCTTGTTGTCTTGATGATGCAATGTGTCTTGCTTCCTAACTTGGCAGAATCTAATTACTGAATGTGGCACATCATTTTCAGGAAACATTTCTTTCTATCAGCAAGATTTCTTCGAACTCTTGCATTTTAGTTTTAAGATTTTATATCTTGAATGAGGATCCTGTCTTTAATATCTTTGTTGTACTGATTCCCCATAAGCTTAGTCATTTCGCCTCGTGTTAATTTATCATAGTTATGTAAAATTCAATTGTTTATCATCTCTGATGACTCTGTTTATTTTGTGACAGGTCTAAAGCAAGCAACTATTCTCGCTTCGGAAGGCAAGTGAATATATTCTAATGAAGTCCTTGGGCTCACTTAATTTGCAATGAAACCTTAAGCTCCTTTTTCTTGTTGTCTAGATTATGCAATATCTTTTGCTGCCTTAACTCTGCAGCTATAATGTTCGTAAGATTTTTAGATATTAATGAAAATGTATCCTACATCTTGTTCTTTAACCAGGAGAAGCTGAAGCTATATCCATAGTGGCAGCGGCGCTTAAGAAGAATGGAGGTTTTGAGGTGAGTCATGAACTTATTTAGGCCTAAACTCTCAATTTAGCATTTGTATGAAAATCTTTGCCCAAATGACCCTCTCTTTGTTTTTGTTGAGCTTGGAAGCTAACAACCTATGAGTCTACAACTTTAGCAATTTAGAAAATCGGTCTTCATCTGATTTTTATCATTTACGGACAAATTGTGCACTCATTCTTATGTTTTCGATTGTTTTGTGCAGGCTGCAAGTCTTAGAGTTGCTGAACAGTATTTCAGTGCTTTTGCAAAGATTGCCCAAGAGGTACTTCTAGTCTGATTGGTTCATTTATTGTGCTAGCTTGTGTTTTTTTGAACTTCACTAATGATTGATGTATGGTCGACAGAGTACAACAATGTTGCTTCCTGCCAATGCCACTGACCCTGCTAGCATGGTGACTCAATCATTGGCTTTATACAAGCGATTGATTGTTGATAAGCAGAATTTGGGTCATGATGCACTCTTGGAGGATCTGAAATCGGCACCCACATCATCTTCTGAATCATCATCCATGGAGATAATTGAGTAGTTTGCAGATCCGTGGTCTGAGAATAGATTATAAAAAAAGGGCATGGAAACTGGATTTTGCTGCAGTGCAGATGGGCCATTGGCCTTTGAAATATCTATTTACTAGGTCTTCAATGTTAAGCATCAATTTGTTTCTGAAGCAGGTTTTTTCTTCATTAAAGTAAACAATGAAGCATTAGCATAACTCACAGGTTCATCTTCCAAGTTGAAGTATTCCCCTAACTAATGCATCCAGGTCTTAAATAAAAAACAGGCCTTGGCCTTTTGGTGTCACCATGTAGTAGCTTCATTCTACTCCTTTTTTCTTTTTCAAAAAGGGTTTCGTTTTATACTTTTTCCATTGCTGCCATTTAATATATAGTTTTAAAATTTTTAGTGCAATTTTTCTTTTCCTTTCCAACATCTAAATGCAATCTTACATCCCTTTCTTCGCAAAAAAAAGTTTATTTTAGCCCGGGTTCAAGAAGCATAAGATGTCCCAAGAAACCATGAGCACACCACACTCGCCATCACACGTCCATCCTGTCTAATTAAGTAGATCCATTTCAGGAGTTAAAAAAATCTAACTCTTGTTGAAATATTGTACTCCTTTCGTCCCAATAAATATTAAACTTTTTTTTATTGTTTTAGTTCTGTAAAGTGAAATATATATATATATATATATATTTTGACAGAGAAAATTTATTTTTATGTGTATTTATGTGTTATATGAGGTGGAATTGTAAAAGAACGATGTTCCCAGAAACCATCAAAGGCAAATGGCCGATCACCGGCTAGTAATGGGTAAGGATGTCGAGTACAAAATTGATTTTGGTAAAAAAAAATTTGTGCCCAAACATACATTTTATATTTTGTGTGATTATACAACGATAAATAGGATTCAAGATAACAGACCAATACAAACTAACCTATAAAAATGTGTGCCAAATATGTGTAGTAAAACATATCATGCAACAATTTCGAGAGCTGACTTTTTTTTTTTTCCAACAGTTGTATTTTAGAAACTTGACTATTTTTGTGGGGCGTAAGAAATACCTTTTGAGTTTTCTACTTGAGCCTAAGACATATTGACCACTTTTTATAATTAAAAAAGTTGTTGTACATTGTTTATGAATTACAAACTACGTAGATAGAAACCATAAGTAAAAACTACAAGTTGCAATAACTCGAAGAGATGCATTTTTTTTAGAACACTCGATGAGATGCAATCGTAACCAAGACGAGCTAGAAATTTCCGGGGAGGGAGTCAAATTTCTTCGATGAGTGGTTAAAATCAAGCCATAAAGTCGCAGAAGGTGTTAAGAGTTGAGAGATCTATTTGTATTTTATAAACAGCGACGTACACGTAGACCACTTCTCATATACGAACGAGTCTTTTAGTGAATCTGTACAATGCAATGTCGTTGGAGATGTCCTGCATAAATTAAAATTCGTAAATCTAATAATGGAAACCGCGAGTTTGATAAACTTGAACTTGTACATTACTAAGAGGCTTCTTTTTCTCTTAAATAGTACTTCCTCCCGTCTTTGTTATAAGTCATTTTGATTCATACTAAAATTTACTTAATATATTTTTTCGATTAAAGAAATCCTTAAATATATATTTTCATATAAGGTGAAATTTAGGACTAATCAATATGCCTTAAAATAAGGACCGAAGGGAGCTTAACAATTCCATATGTTCCTGAAAAAAAAAAGTAACAAATTTGATCTTTGCAGTAAAGAAAAAAAAATTAGAATTCAGAAAAATATTTACAAAAAGAAATGCAGAAAATACAGAATCAAGATAGCATAACATAGCAAAAAAATATTTAGAATATTAAACCCGCATAAATTTTGGAGAAAGTTTGAAGAAAGGGATATCATGCAACATTATCATGTAGTGAGGCTCAAAATATATTGTGAGAAATATGTACCATTTATTTTATTTGCACGTATCATGTCTTTTATATTTTATTATATCATGTATAGTTATGTTCGTATTGAATTTTACTAATTATAAATTACCTTACCGTGTGGAAGTAACCAAATTTTTCTTCAATTATGTAAGTACCTTTTCACTATTTTCAAAGACTCTTTTCTAGAATGTAAGAAATTTTTTGAAAAGAAAAATCACGACTCCTTTTTGGGCGCATATAAGTGCACAATTGTACTAGTTCAATAAATTGGGTTTAGCATCATCAGTTTGATTATAATTAGAAAGTTTTACTAAGTTTCTTATATTGATTTTAAAAGAATTTATTAAGCAATTAAAACAAACTAGTAGAAATTTAATTTAGACTATTTTAGTTAGTCCAAAACAAAATTGTTAATGATAAAAAAATAAACTTAGCTCTAATTATTACACAAAATTAGTAAATTACCTAGTAAAAATGTAATTAATATTAATTAAAATAAATATATAATAGTGATTTAGCATGGGTCAGTGGGAGCCATGGCCCTCGTGGCCCTCCCCTAAATCGGCCACTCTGAACACAAAAAGAGTTATTTTACTAATGCAGCTAGGTGTTATCGTATACAACCAGTTGTTTCTACCGTTCTTGCTGGTGTTAGAATTGTAACATGTTGAATTAATGGTGGAATCAGGATTTATTAAATGGAGGGGCAATAAAAAGGGTAGGACGAGAAAGTATTCTTTAATTAAGGGCCGCATATATTTTGTCCAAAATCATAAAATTAAACAATTTCACTTAGATATTTTTGTTATTGACCTTAATGATGTGCTACCTTTAACCCTACAGGGAGTGAGACTAAACAGTGTCTTTAAATTAGAGCTTGAACTGATGCATTATATATGAACTTTTGTTCCTAGCCATCAACAGTTGAATCAGAAGTTATCAACACCTTAAGTTATAATAAAGAAATAAAGTGTGTTTGTTGAAATTTATAAATGGGGAGCAAGAAAATGTAGCACTTGTTGTTTTCTTTGGTAGGCCATGCAACTCTACCTTGTAACACTTATGTTAAAGAGCTTTGTCAGTTATAATATGATTAAGAGCCTATTTGGTTGCTCTGAAAAGTGGCCAAATAAAGTATTCCTTTTCCTAATTTTTAAAATCTTATGTTTGGTTTAATTTTAAGAAATTTGAGAGAGTAAAAAGAATCCTAAAATTAAGGAAAATTAGACAAATTTCGAGAATTCTTATTATCCATTCAAGGCAGATGTCTTCTTTCCTAGTTCATGGATTTTAACCATTGAACAAGTTTATTATATTTAATTTTTTTTATAACTAATTTTTTTTCTCCCTATCATCATATTTTTTAATTAATAATCCTTTTCTTTTCACCATTCCTCTTCTTCAAGATTGTTTCTTCCTTTTTTTTCCTACTGCATTTAGACCTACTTTTTCATATAGGAGATTAATTTATTCAAACAGGTGAATTTTCTATAATGATCTCTTATATTTTACTATAATTCTCAATTTTAAGAGATTAAAATTATAATGGGATTAATGGAAAACAAAATTTTAAGACAGTTGTATGTTTTACATTGAATTGAATGGTTTTCATTTATAAAAAATTTTTAATTATTGTAAATTTATTAAGAAAATTTAGAATTTGAAGTAGAATTCATTAACGATACGTTAAGAGTATGTTTGGTCATAAAGTAGTTAAAATTCATTTCTAATTTATTAATAAAAATAAAATAAAATAATCAAAATTCCCACAACAATATTCTTAATTTTATCCAAACAAAAGAATGTAATCTATTTTACTTTAGTTTCCTTTAGATTTAAAATCCAAAGAATGTTAAATTTATTTTCCCTCACTTTTCTAACAACCAAATAGGCCCTAGAGTTTTGTTGAAAGGATGTAGAGAGGGTTCCTGGGTTTTTTTTTGGGTAGACACTAAGGGCAAATATGTATCAGTAAGAGTAATTTAAATTACGATTTTAAAAAAAAATATCTATTGCCCGTAATAAAAAAATACTTTTTGGTCATACTCTTTTTATTAATTTTCTTATCTCTATTGCCCTTTAGCCAAATTTTTCAATAACTTTTTGCCCGGAGTATTGTGGCCTCCTCCACTGGTTGAGACAACATTATCGTTGTCCATCATCTAACAATTAAATTCTTTCATGGTGTATACAAGAAAAGGACCCTAAGAAAATATATTAATTTCATCCCTTAACTAGTTGCACAAGGGTGAAGAGAAAAGAAAATAAAATAAAATAAAGAGCAATACAGTCACTACGATAAACTGCTATCCAACATGTACAAAAGATTATATTGAGATTTCACGATCGATTAGTGGGTATCTCGTTACTAATTTTTTTTTGGTTAAACAAAATCTACACCTTTCTGAAAGAACGACACAAGACTTTGGTTGGTTAATTAGATGTGGATTCGTTGGATTTGCCCGGGAGTAGAAGTGAACCTTCAGAATAGCCTTCCCGGGCGGACACGTGCTGGAGGCCAAACCATTGCTGAGCGTCGCTGGAATACACCGAGGTGGACAAAAAGGCAGTAGCTCAGCCTGAGAGAAACATTTGTGAGATCCCGAATAAACCAGACCAAGGCGAAAGAGCTATCACACCGTTTGCCTCTACAGTATCAACCCCTTTTGTTACTAAGTTGTATTACCAAATCCAGATGAAACCGTTGCAATAATTGCAATGAATATTAACAACATTAAACCATTAATGCAATGAAGCAAACTAATACTCCCTCCGTTCCATAATTATTGTCCAGTTTTACTAAATAAAAGATTTTATTTTTGGTCAAACTTAATTATATTTTACCTTAAACAACCGAATATACCCCTACATAAGTAATTATTTAACCACTAAGATTTTATGGATAATGTTTTTTACTAAGGACAAATGTGTAACTTGATCCATAAAAAGTCAAATTGGATAATAATTTTGGGACAAAATTTTTTGGGCAAAGTGGACAATAATTATGGGACGGATGGAGTATTTCAAAAATTGATGTATGTATATGATGTTGGAATAAATCCAAATACTAAAGAGACCTTCACATCAAATTATTGAGAACTAT